AATCTCCCCACTGTCCGAATATGCTGCCAGCTCTGCTGGTTTCTGGCGGGCCACAACAGTTGCATCCATCCATCCATCCGTTTCCCCAAACATTTGTCTAATTCTAATCCCAAGATGTTACGGCACCTGTTTTAGCCATTTAACAAACTGTCTCCTGTAAGCACTTTGCTTTCATTTTTTTTTATGCCTGCCCTTTCTGTTCCTCCAACAGCAAGTCAACTCCAAGAAGGAGCAGAAAGCTATGAGGGGGAGAAGGTAAATAAATGGCCAAGAAGGGATCTTGTTCAGCTTTTATGTTGTCTCCATGGATTGATGATGGCTTCACTCTTCTGGCAGGTGGAGAACGCAGCCCAGCTCCGGAGCAGTCCTGACCGTCTCGGTGTCTAACCGTCAGGCTGGCCACCCCCAGGGGTACGTTTCTCAATTAACACCCTTGGATTTCAGGACCCTGGAACTGTCAGTATTGGACTGGTAGTCCTTTCATGGGTTCTTTACCTCTGAGATCTTCCGGAGGATGTCTGTGGAGATCCTGCTTTCCGGGTCCACTGGTGGAACCTCTTCTAACCGGTTCGGTAGATTTGACGAACTGGTTCTACCGAATAGGTGCGAACTGGTAGGAACCCACCTCTGAATCACATGTATACTATTACATAGCCAACATCATGTTGTATTATTGAATGTTTACATCAATTCGTCTTACCATCAACTCCCCAAAACAATTATTGGCTCTTCTGCTCTCCAAACACCATATTTGTACCTTATCCATCGCTTTCTTCTCCTTTTCTCCTCTCCCTCCCTCCTTACTTCCTTGGATTGTGGTAAAAAGTGTGGCTTTTTTTTTTATAGGCCAGGACAGAAGCGTCCCTTCCCGAGAAGGCGAAACAACCAGGCCCCGCAGCTTCGCTGGCGGCCGAGAGGAGTGATGCTAAGATTCAACTTCCGGGCGATGGCTAACCAGGTACAAAACTCTCCCAGGCCTGAAATGACCCTCTGGGGACTCCTCAAGGCCTCCGGGAATGAAAGGAAAGAGAGGGTTAAGTGTCCTTAAAGGTGCCCCCCCCCCGCAATGAGATTAAGATCCAAATCAGGTATTCGGGGTCTTAACCGATGGGGAGGCTGAGATGGGAGCTTGAGTCCTGTCACCCGATGCTTGGTGGAGATGGAGGATGGGACCTTCAGCAGCAAAAGGAAGTCGCCGTGTAGATTTCCCAGCCAACTCACAGGGACCTTCTTCTTCAGACCAGTGTGACCCTGAACGAGCGGTTCTCTGGGCTTTGGCACAAACGCCGTTTTTCAACGGAATGCAACGCCGGCCGGATGGTGACTCTGCCGTAAGCCTCGATGGGACCAGGCCAAAGCTGGAAAGACGTCAGACTTCCAAGGCCACCAATTGCCTGGGACTACCTGAGGAGGCCCCTCACCAACCGCAGCTTGGGAGGAATCTTCTCAATGGGGATGGTGATCTCCAGAGGTCCTTCTTCCACCTGAGCCGTGTCTCCAAAGACCAAGCCTAAAAGACACAAGCAGTCCTTTTTATAGTCTGGAGAGGAGCCTAATGACCACTAGCTGAGTGTAATTAAAAGGCACCTGCGGAAGGAAGATCTTCAGCTCTTGGTCCTCCCCAGGAGAAGGCCTCTGCCTCTTCGTGGCCTCATGTGGATAGGGAAGCCCATGGTTACCACCTCATGAGTCAACTGAACCCGGAATTCCAGCGGTTGCCTTGGCCTGGAAAGCACTTTTTCAGACCTGTTTTGAGGAACAGGATGGGGGTGATGACACCCCCTCTCTAGTGCAGTCCTCGTGCAAATGGTGCAATTTATATAAATCACATTGGAGGATGAGGAGGTCGGGATGTTTGACCTCATCACCCTGTCTACCGGGTGCATATGCTTGGGGGATTGTGTTGAATTTTAGCAAACTTTATTTTTTAGAAGGAATAAAGCTATTTTGGAATCTGAACGAGTACGGTGATTCTTGGCAAAATAACCGAGGGCTTCCTTCTTAAAGCTCTTTTGTTTTGTACCAGGCCTTTAGCCAGCTTACCTGGGGGGAAAAAGGGAATGCTGGATTGTTCCTCGGCTCCGTTTCCCTTCTTATAGCAATAGCAGTTAGACTTATATACCGCTTCATAGGGCTTTCAGCCCTCTCTAAGCGGTTTACAGAGTCAGCATGTCGCCCCCAACAACAANAGGCTGGATTGCTGCCAAGCCTTATCTGTGTTTATTGCTGCCTGAGTTTGTCTGAGTTGCTACCAAGGTTCTTATCTGTTTTTTCTGCTTGGCGTTCAGCTACCGAGGTTTTGGTGTTTTGCTAATTGAAGTACATTCCAGTTAAGCTTGTCTTGGCATTCTTTACTGGACAGAGGAGGGGGTCAGAACAGGTATGATACAGTGATGGGGGTGATCTCATAACTATATAATAAATTACATAACCAAGGAGCCATTGTTATAATGGCTGGACAATCCGACTCAATTTCCATTCTCCTCTTATAGCAGTAGCACTTAGACTTATATACTGCTTCACAGTGATTTAAAGCCCTCTCTAAGCAGTTGACAGAATCAGCATATTTTCCCCAACAATCTGGGTCCCCATTTTGAGGTCCCCACCTCAAAAACATGGAAGGCTGAGTCAACCTTGAGTGGTTGAGAATTGAACTGTTGAACTGGTGGCAGTGGCAGTCAGCAGAAGTAGCCTGCAATGCTGCATTCTAACTACTGTCCCATCTTTCATCTACAGAAGAGTTAGTATCTGGAATTGGAAATGGAACAAAAAAGATTCTATAGGAACTGTAGTGTAAATCTGTCATTATTACATTAGGTAGTAAAATGATGGTATTTGTATATTGAGTTTCAGGGAAGCTTGGCATCCTTCACCTGCTTAGCAAGGGCTTTCCAAATTTCCAAGAAATCCTAGCCTATCAATAATGCATTTGCCTGCAGTTAACTAAGTGTTGTAAAGTGAGTGTGGAGAACCTGAGGCTGATGAAATGATGGCTCTCAACTGCCAGTGTGCAATTGGCACTTTCCACTGAGTACATCTCTGATTTTAGCCAGCACCTGAAAACTGAATGAAGTATTCCGTGGAGAAGTAATGAATTTGGAACTAAATGCAGATAGGTTCTGTCTGGTTACCGATCGGTCTCCGGATACGCTTCAAAGTGCTAGTCGTAACTTATAAAGCCCTTCATGGTATTGGACCTGGGTACTTGAGAGACCGCCTTCTCCCAATTACCTCCCACAGACCCATTAGATTGCAAAGGGTCGGCCTCCACCG